TTGGCTATTGAAAGCTATTGATGGACAGTGATAGGAACAGACTGTCTCATAAGATGTTGATTAGGCAGCTGTTAGTGGAAAGAGAAATTGGAGATGGTAGATTCCATTTAGACACATACTGGTCTAACCAAGCGGTAATGAAGTTTAAATAAGATAGTGGCTGTAATGGAGTAAAGAGGAATGATTTATTTGGAAGATACTGTGGGGTTAGAATTGCTAGTACTTGGCTCATATTTTGCCCCAGTTATAATAATATATTTTGTTACATCTGGGTCCTTAAACCATTCATTCATTCATTCATTCATTCATTCATTTATTTAATCAATTTATTTATTTTACTTATCTGTTTATTTATTTATTTATTTGAGTATCAATAAGCTGGTGGTGGTATGACAAAGTAGAAAGACACTGTCAAAAGACCTGATGTCTGAGTCCTGTCTCTAACATTGAGAAGCATGTATCTTTAGAGATCCCTTCACCTCAATGAGCCTTGGATTCTCTTATCTTCTGAATGAAGAAGATCCCCTAGATAACCTCGGGGGCCCTGTCCAAATGTANTTAAGCTTGTTCTAGTGTTCTGCTTAAAAGGCAAGTCTTAGATTCAGTGAACTAAAGAATAAAATTCAGTGTTTTTTAACTCCTTAGAACTGTTTATTTAGTTGCTGCATTGCCATTATTGTTTTGTTTCTGATTATCACAGGAAATTCTTTTTCTATTCATCCATGCCAAGAATCTATCTACTCATGTAGTTACAACTGAATATGTCTTTTCTTTTGATATGTTAAATGCAGTTTATTACTCCTTTAGGTCAAGAAGAAAATAAATATTGTAGTAACAGCAGTAGAACATTTAGTAACTCTGCCCTTAATTAACTATGTGATACTGGGCAATGTTTTCAATTATTAAATATGCATCATTCTCCTTTTCTGGTTTTCATTAAATTGCCATATCATTGGCTCTTTTTTTGTTTGTTTCCTTTTATCTTTGTAGATCTTCGGACACAATTTTTACATTTGAACCTGTGTCTATCTGTAAAACATTCAGTCCATGATATTCAGTCCGTGAAAAAATTCATGTTTCATCCACATAAGTTTAAATTGAAAAAGTGGAAGTACTCTGCAAACTAAACAAAACAGTGTGCATCAGATCAGGTCCAGGGACAGACAGTTTGGAATCTCTGGTTTACATATTAATATCTTCATACATCTACCCAAGATATTGAGTATATAAACAGGTTCGATTCCAAATCTGTGGTATTTTTGTCTAAAAATATCTTTCAGTGTACTTTTTAAAAGTAAAATATGTATTACCTGTCATATAGCCAGATTAGAAAATGTCCTTTTCAAAAAATTGTTTACAAAGCATTATTGATACACCAGTCATGTCTTCTTTCTGAAATAGTCATATAGCCACCTTGTTAAATCTATAGCTATGCTTCATTTCAATTTGGTTGTGAACTGAAAATTGCCCTGAAAAAATAAAGTTTATTCATTAAAAAAAAAAATCCATTATTAGAAATTCCTGTACAAAACAGAATACTTTTGATCTTGCTCAGTTGTAGAATACCTCTTTGGTTTTATATATTTATTTTTGTTAAACAGAATTTTTTCCTTGAACCTTAAATGAATATGCAGCAATAGAAACTTGAGAAATTCTACTTCCATCATAGCTTGGATCTAACAATCCAGAACTTCCTTGCTCCCTTACGTATCTACTGGATTGCTTGGATTCCTGTTTTCTTTTTTTAACTTCCACTTAGTTTTAAAACTTAAAGTAACTTATTTAAAGCAGTTAATTACCAACAACACTCATCTTTCCCCAAAGTTTAGATTTACAATTCCAGAACTGATTGTGACGACTTAATCTCCACTTATGTCAGATTGCTCTTTAATATACAGAAGGTTTAAAAAATGCATAAATTTCAACTGGCTTAAAGATTTGCATACACTATTACTGCTTTGTCATTAAACTAAATGAGGTTTTAAAGCCTTAAAACCACAGTTATAATAAGATAGAGAACTCAATCATAACTGTGTGACTAAAGAAAACACTAATTGATGATGCCCTCTCTTCAATTGTCCGAAATAGGCTTGTCTCATATGGTGTTTTTAATTGAGCTAAAACAGTTCTTTTTTTTCCCCCC